AGTTTTTGGTGATGAATGAGCATACCTTTGTTTTACTGTCATACCCCGAATCATTGAGTTGTTGAGAGGATAGTAACTGATGAAGTGGGCCAAGATGGCACATCTTGCCAAACCAGAAAATGGTGGAAGTTACATCCCCAATTTCAACCTTGACAAGAGGCATGATTGTATCTTTAAGGCTAAGAAGATTCCTTCAATTCCAAGAACACTGATCAGGTACATTTACCTCCCGAATACTTATGCCCTTTAATAAATAGGTATTAATCAATTTCACCCACAATATGTCTTTTGAACTAACAATATGGCAGAAGTGCCTCATGATACCACACTCAATCCATGTACAAAGATAATGTTGCCTAAGTCCTCCAACTATTTTAGGCTTGCAGTATTTCTCCCGAGCCACTTTAGCACAAGTCTTCCTTAGAATTGGACCAGACCATAGAAAGGCCCTAAAGATACTCTCAAGTTTATGGGTGATACTCATTGGTAAAATAAACTTCGATCTCCAACACATTTGGGTTGAGAAAAGTACGACTCGAATTAGTTATAGTCTACCAGCAAATGAGAGGTTCTTGCTAGTCCAGTGGCTAATCTTAAAAGTAACCTTATCAATAAGAGCTCTACAATCATTGGCCCTAAGCATTGTGGTAACAAGTGGCACCCCAAAGTATCTCACAGGCAAAACACCTTTCTCATACCCAAGCAGTGATATGATATCTGATTACAAATGCTCATTCACACTTGATAGATAAACCTCATTTTTGTTTTGATTAATGTGAAGAACAAAGAGATTATAAAAGATGTCAATAGCATGCTTTAGTTTATACAATGAAGTAAGGCTCCTATGTGAAAATAACATAAATCATTAGCAAATATTAGATAGGTAAGGGTAAGTTCTTTTCACCTCCAATGATATTTAAAGGTCATCTCAGAGGTAAAGTTGGATACAATATAGGAAAATACATGCATGAAAATTACCTAACGTAAGCGGAAGCGATAAATTTGTTTACAAGGAACAGTTTACTTTGAATCCACAATATTGTATGTATTTTGAATCCACAAAACGAAGAGATAATTAAGAGAAATATGATATATTATTGATAATTGAATGAATAAAAATTAATTATACTCTATGCAGTACACATATTTATAATAAAAGAAAACCTAACACTAGAAGAAAATTAAAATATAAAGAAACCTAATAACAAAAGGAAAATAACACTAAAAATAAAGTTTTTCTAAAAATCCTGAGAAAATAGAAAAAGAAACCTAATAAATAAAAAATACTAAATCTAAAATTTTAGAGCAATCCGAGTTCGTTAAGGCCTTGAACAAAAATCCCAAAATAATTAACAAGCCTCGTATAACACAATAAAACACGATTTCGGAACCCTAAACGAAAATACTCCTCTCAGTCAGAAACAGACTTGTCAAACTGCTTATCCAATTATTCAGAATTATATCATACATCAATCCCCTCTACTTCAAAAAAACTCGAGTTTGGCAGCAATGAAGTCTCACCTATCAAAAAATCATACTTTTCATTGCCATGAGAACCTCCAAAGCACAACACAAAAAGATCTCCTTTAGTGGTTTCTTCCTAAATAAAAACCTCTTGACTTGCAATCTATTCAAATAATGATCCTTCACCAATTTGAAGCCCAAATTCATCAAAACTATCTTCGACATGCAATTTAAAATTTTCTTTGACCACATCATCAATTGATTCATGTTTCTTGTTTTCAATGTCAATTTTTACCGCCCTGCCCCGTTAATAACAGATTTGGGAGCACTTTTTATATCGTTGGGGCGGGCATGTATACAAATTTTGTACCCGTCGTGGGTCACGGGGCAGATAAGGGTTCTTATGCATATCCACAAGGGCCCTGCCCCACCCCGCCCTGCTAAGCATATTACTATATTTAATATTTAGTATGTATATATAATATTAATAACTTGCTTTGGTTATGATGGAAGTTGGAGCTTAAAACTTCTTATGATTTGGTTGTATTAAACACTTATTTTTGTTAATTATGTTCTCTGAATTATTTTATGTGCATGTTATTTTTTTATTTTTGTTGGGATTTATAATTTCATTTATGTTGTGCCATTCCCAAGCTTTCCACATTTAAATAGCAGCAACTTAAGTCCCAAAAAGTGGGGGAAAAAAATTTGTTGCAGGACAGGCATGGGCACAATATTTCCCAACAGGGTGGGGCTGAACATGAAAATCCAACCCATCACGGATCGCGGGGCGGGTATGGACTTGCCAAAAATTAAACAAGGCGATGCGGGATTTAGGGAAACTCACTCCAAACCTGCCTCGTTGCCATCCCTATTTTCAACGTCAAACGTCTTTCATCATCTTCTTTTTTTGTTGCGCTAAATTCCTTAACGGCATTAACTTTAACAACAAGAGGTGAAACAACAAAATTCTTTTCATGATTAATCTCATAGTAAGGTGGAAGAAACTTTGCTTCCAAAATACGTTTCATCTTCAACCGTACTGGTGCTTTTCTTTGTTGTGCACTGGAAACTCGCAATTATTCCCGACCACCAATTAAAAGCTATTCCTTCCAATTTATATGCGACTAATGCCACCTTATTTTCCTCTTTAATTTTCATGTAATCAAAGAACCTCTCAAAATCTTTTAGCCAATCTAGAAAATCTTCAACATAAAATAAACCATCAAAACTAGGAAGAAAACTCCTAGGATCATAATCCCCATTATTAGAATATCTTCGTGAGTCTCTATAACCCCCAAAAACCTCTTCAACGTAATCTTCATCATCACTGAATTCTTCATCGTAGGCTAGCTGCCTACGATGCATGATGGGGTTGCAATTCCGAACCGGATGAACGCAATCTTCGTCACCATTATGCACCCTGTTGCTCTTGCAATTTTGCTCTAACTCAAACCTAACAATCAGCTGCCTATGATGCATGATGGGGTTGCAATTCCGAATAGGATGAACATTATCTTCGTCATCGTTATGCACCCTGTTGCTCTTGCAATTTTGCTCTAACTCAAACCTAGCAATCATTGCTTGAATATTTTGCAACATTCTCAAGTTTTAGGTTGCCTGAACCCTAGCACGTCCTTCCTTTAGGGCCCTCTGCTTCGTCAAAGGAAAGAGAACGCAATAACCAGTGCATCCGTATGTGAAAAAAGAGTGAGTGGTATGTGTTCTTTTTGCTGTCAAAGCACCCCAAACCAACCGATCTTCTGATCTATGCCTTTCACTTATGAAATAAGGAATAGCTACAGCGCCCAGAGGAACCTTCATGGGTGACCGACTCAGAGCGAGTCGAACCGTACGGTATTATGTGTCTCGATTTCATCGTATTTTTTTCTTTCTTTCTGTGCGCGACATCATCCGTTTTTCGACTGAGCTCATCACATTAAGAGTCGAAATGATTCGCTTTGAGCCGGTCAACGTCTGATTGCAAACCTTGATGACTGATGGAAAACAACACAAAAATGCAGGTGCTGCACTTGGTTCTTTCTTGTTGTAAGTGAATGCAACGAAAAGACAGTCACCACGTTCATCTATAATCAGACCGAGAAAATACAAGGCTCTGATAGCAACTGACATAAGCGGAAGCGATAAATTTGTTCACAAGGAACATTTTACTTTATATCTACAAAGTAGGTGTTTTGAATCCACAAAACGAAGAGATAATTCATAGAAATCTAATATATTATTGATAATTGAATGAATAAAAGTTAATTTTGCTCTATGCAGTACACATATTTATAATAAAAGAAAACTTAACACTAAAATAAAACTAAAACATAAAGAAACCAAATAACAAAAAGAAAACAACGGTCTAAAAATAAAGTTTTTCTAAAAATCATGAGAAAATAGAGAAAGAAACCTAATAAATAAAAAATACTAAATCTAAAATTTTAGAGCCATTCAAGTTTGTTAGGACCTTAAACAAAAATCCCAAAATAATTAACAGGCCTTGTATAACACAATAAAACACGATTTCGGAAGCCCACAAGGTATAGATAGTGGGTCTTTCTCAATGCATTGTTTCCATCCAAAAAACACTCCTCTCGGGACTTGTCAAACTACTTGTCAAATTGTTTAAAATTCTTTCCTACATCAAATTTTTAGAATAAATAAATAAATCATTAAAGTAACAAAAATTACCCGCCAAATCAGCCGAAATTGGTTTCCAAAGCTTTGACTCCCTTAATTTTTGGTCTTCATGACCAACCAATATGGCTTCTGAATGATTCCGCATCATGTTAAACATGGACCATAATTTTTGAAGGCCATTAACAATGGAATCAATTTCCAAAGCACATACAAACGCAGATCCTTACTTTTTTTTATAAAAGTATGTCCATTGTTTCATTAATGGAGAAACCCAGTTGCTTGCAAACTTTCTACAGAGACTCACATCTTTCATAGGCGAAAAACAAGTTTGTCAAATTGCCTTCAATCATTTACTACTTCATATTGGTCTAATAAAAGCACGTCAATCCTTCATTCTGTGCCATTTTTTTTTTTCTTTTTTCTTTTATTGCTCTGGTGTGAACCTTTTTTTTTTCCTTTCACATTCATCTTGTTCTTAATTTTCTTATATACTCCATATATACTTTACCTGTCCACATTGAGTCACTGAGGCAGAATGAAAAAATAGAATTAATCTTTCCATTTTTGTCAATTCTAATATTCTTGATTCCTTGTCTCGGAATATTTACTAATTTAAGAGTTGCTAGGTCTGTGGCTTCCACATAGCTGGTCGAGTTATTAACAAAAAAGACTTTTTCTTCTTTTTTCTTTTCTTCTGACGTTCTTATTATTTTACTATTGTTCTATCTAATTAATCATGATGATGTGTAAACTGATAGATAAATTTCTCCTTGTTCAATCCATATTGAAATTTTATAGTTCTTTTAGTATTTTCTTTGTTGATGAATTGATTCAAAATCTGAATCAAGATAATTAAAGACTTGATTAGCAACCAGCAAAAGAGAAAAGTAATGGAAAACAATAGTTATGTTCATCATGTGCAAGAGGACGTAGTAATTGAGGTTCTCTTGAAGCTACCCGTGAAATCATTACTGCGTTTTAAATGTGTGTGCAAATACTGGTTCAATCTCGTTAAAAACTGTAATTTTATTAGCAAACACCTCCATCAGAAGAACCACAAGGCTTATCTCCTTATTGAACGGTACTCTTACAGCACACATATATTTTCTTGTGCTCTATTGCCTCTTGAAATGCTTACCAACAGGTCAATTGTTTATCTTGATATTAACGATCCTGATACGGCCAAATATATAAGTGTTATCGACTCATTTAACGGTATAATTTGTCTTTGGGATCAGAATCAAATAGCTTTGTGGAACCCCACTATAAGAGAATTCAAACCTCTCCCTGTATACCATCCAATCCTTCCACTCTATATCAAGGCATACTCCCATTGTTTTGGATTTGGGTTAGACCTAGTGACCAATAACTACAAGGTGGTCTGGATTCGGTACCTTTGGAATGAAGAAAATGATTACCCATACGATCCTCCAGTTGTTTCAGTGTATAACCTATTTCCACTCTATATCAAGGCATACTCCCATTGTTTTGGATTTGGGTTAGACCTAGTGACCAATAACTACAAGGTGGTCTGGATTCGGTACCTTTGGAATGAAGAAAATGATTACCCATACGATCCTCCAGTTGTTTCAGTGTATAACCTAGGTATTGATTCTTGGAGACTTGTTGAAGCTGATTTACGTCCTCATTTAATGCGTGGCGCTTTAGGCAACACATGCACAAATGGAATTTATTACTGGCTAGTCAGTCATGGTGGTGATAACTATTTAGTCCTTTCGTTTGACATGAAAAATGAGGTTTTCAAAATGATATTGGCACCACTGGATATTCACGAATCACAATTGGGCACTCTTGGCTTGTACAATGAATCTATTGCTATGGTGCTTTTTGATCCTTGTGTGATAGAGAAGCAGTTTGACATATGGGTGATGGTAGAGGAAGGATACTGGACAAAACAATTAATTATTGGCCCCATTTCAGATGTTGATGGACCCCTTGGTTGCGCAAAAAATGGAGAGTTCCTTTTTTATACTGGCACTTCACAGTTAGTTGTTTACAGCCCTAATACACAGGAAATTAAGTACCTTGGACCCTGCAGATATAGTCATTCCCTTAGTGTTTTCGTCTATGAGGAGAGCCTAGCTTCAATTAAGGGAGAAAAGGAATGCTTGGAAGGGGTTAACACCCTATGGTCGGAGTTGAAGTGTTTTTCGTGTTCCATCAGCCTCTCATAGCAGCTTACGATCAGGACCCCAAGTGTGTTTCTAGTTTCCATCCATAATGTATCACTCATTTATGTTTTCTTTTTTCTTTCCTTTGTTTTTTTTTCCTTCACTAGGGGCAGCGAGTAAGAAGAAAACAAAGGGGAACAACTGTAATACAACTTCCCTAGATTCCTTAATCTCTGAAATTAATCTGCCTACGAAATTTTAATCCTCATTCACATTGCATGTTGGAGAACATGTAGGTATTAGAAAATCAATCAAAACCAATGAAATAAATGCACAGTACAAATCTAAAAAAAAAAAAAATGAAAATAAAACCAACAAAATGTAATTAAATCAAAACCCTAGGAAAAGAAGAAAGAGAATTGAAATTCAACAACAACAACAACAAAAAATGAAAATAAAACCAACAAAATGTAATTAAATCAAAACCCTAGGAAAAGAAAAAAGAGAATTGAGATTCAACAAACACATAAAGTGATGTAATGGGTAACAAATAAAGTGATGCAACAAAGACCCACATTCTTGAAGTATAAGTGTTGCAAATTAACAAAATTGCACAAATCTATTGAAACACATATTTTACTTTTTGTTACAATCCTTAGTGTGTCAGTTTGAGTGATGGGAAACTACGGTGAAGGTAAGAGTGTTCGGAGAAACCTTGAGAAATATTACCAATGCTTTACTGGAATTGAACTAGATGAAATAACTTAACAAAAATTGAGGTGAAAGCAGTGAAACAGAAGAGAGAGAGAGCGCAAAAATAAAGCTAAATGGAAGTGGGCCTGACCAGTCCCCCACGCGTGACCCTCTGGGGTATTTATAGAGCTTACGGCTCTAGCATGTGATAGCTGTCATCCACCAGTTGCAACTATCTCTGTCAAATAACGGATATGCCCTTGTAAGTTTTCAAATCACCTGTACTCACGAGGGGCTTCTATGACACGCGAATGACAGGCCCGCATGCTCTTCAGTCGCGACCTTATACCGCGCATTCCAACAAATCTCTCTCTCGATCCTCCATTCCATGATCAACCCATTTTTCCATTTGGGACTATGATGTTACATGCTTTGATATGACACCATAGCTGCTTGAACCATATTATTGCGTGCAAGTACATATGGCTCCTGAACCAAGATTGTGTTCTTTAACTAATTCTACCTTCTCAACCCCGGAGATAGCCTCGCAATTAGCTTTCTCCTATTTGAGAAAAAGAACTTGGCTTGACACTTTCTTGATCCATGTCGTGGTAAGCCACACCAGGTTATGGGCTTTGGCGTACGTGAAATTTTGAGTTACCCCTTCTCCTAAAATCTTTGCGATTGCTTTGGTAAAGAGTATTCTCATAATTTCTCTTTGCTGTAACTGCATAATCGTTGGCTCGATGTGTCAGCTGCAGTCCGATATGTACCAAGAGCTTCTCTGTTTCTTCATTCCCTTCCTGGAACGAATACTTATAAAGACTCTCGAGATACATCTGCAATGGAGAGTGCCCCATTTCCTCATCCCAAAGTACCACAAATGCCCCTTTACAGGATTTGAAATGCCATGAAACAATCATATATAAGCAGTTTGGACCTCGCATATCCTTTTTGATCTTGTGGATCCATGTAATCCATGAGACTTCACGGATACGGCTTGATTGTGTGGATTGTTGAGATTGTGCACAACGGAATGATTGCATAATATAATATGGATAGATAACCTAGATGAGTAGTTAATAGATTCAACTTGCTCTTTAATTTATCCAATTTTAATTTTATCAAAATAAAACTAAATTCAAACCACAAAGCAAAAATAAAGTGTAATTAAAGTAAATAGAGTTTGAGAGATGACACCAAAATTTTAGCGAGGAAATCCCAATTGGTAGAATAGACTAAGTATAACAAGAAAAATCTCGTTGGACTTTATAGTCCTGAGATAAACGATCCACTATGTTTGAAGCAAAGTATACCGAACTTTGACTCAGTCTCACACCCTATCGTTCTACCAAAAACCAATTACTAACAATCCCTGACTTTGCGACTCCCCTGTCCAACAGCTCTCGACCTCAAGCTTACTCTCGATCTATGTAGAAGAGTTGCAGATAGATCAGACAACACTCCACGAATGATCTGACCCCTTTAAAATGTGATCGCTTCACTTCTTTTCTTCTAGATCTGAATTTGATGAAGAATGAATGAATTTTGCTTTTCGAAATTTTTGAATCTTCGATTATACTTCAATTCCAATGAGATAGAGAACAATACTCCTAAATCACTCTTGTATTTATGGGTGCGCTCTCAAAAAAAATATATGAAAAATCAAATTGATTTTCTGAATAAAAATATCTCTTAAAGATGGCTCTCAATTGGATCTGAATTTTCTGTGCATAAGCCGTGTATAAACCTATGTGTATGACAAGGTTTATATATATTATAGAATGAATGAATCCCTCTGAAAATATGAAAAAATTCGTGCATGGGATTTGGTACAATTCTAGACTAACTAGAAAAGAAATCTGAAACAGAAAACTAGAAGTTGTATTGTTGTTATGACTTCTTGAACCGGTTCAAGGGTGCTGAACCGGTTCAAGATTGGCAGTGAGAATTCGAAGCCAATCTTGAAGGCCTTGAACCAGTTCAATGAGGCTAACTAGTTCAAGTCTAGCAGACTTGCATTTTCAGGTTGAACTTGGTAAAAACCCTGTTTTGGAAATTTCTGAAAATATACCAAGTACGGAATATATCATAACCTTTTTAGATTCCTTCCTAAAGTGTTGTTCTTACCTTTCTCGAATGATCTCAGTTATGGTAACTTTGAACAACCTTCTAATTCCGCAGTCACTGTCGATCCTGATATAGTAACTTGAATTTACAACTCGACTAGGACTTGTTTTGACACCGAAAGTTACCAATTATAAAATATATATTTTTTACAGTCTTCCCAAAATATATATCTCACATGGATGAGTCTCATCTGCACCTCCTTTCTTGCCTTCCGCGCAGTTCATCAATACTATTTTACATTATTTACAAATGCCATGGACAAAATGTAAATTCAATGTAAATACTCTTTAATGGTATATATTATATATATACCAAATAGTTGTAGTATCGTATAAAAGTTTTTTCACAACAATTTGAATTGCATATTTTCCTTATGAAGTTGAAAATTTGGCAAATCAACATTAACTGTCCTGAACCATTACATCTCAAACCATTCGATTTGTTAGACACATGTAACTAAAAGCGAAGTAAATAAATCCTGATTAAATTAAGGGAATGTAAGTGTAATTAATTAACCTTTTTTTCAAGTATATTGCCTTTCCAAAATGAAATCTTCATTCCATCCATGCTCATCTCGACCAAAGGCTTTGTGGTACAGTGGTATCTCTTCTACCTTCCAGAGTGGATGGTGAGGGTTCGAGTCTTCAAATGAGCAAATTGGATGTGTAAGTGGTGGTGTGTTTGAGTTTCTTGCCAATGACAAATAAATAAATAAATAAATTTGCTCATCTCGAACTTAATTGAATTGAACCCTCACCACTCAGCAGTGATGGCACCAGAAAGATTGGAGTTGTGATCAATATCACACACACACACACACCCCAAATGAAGTAAATGGCACTTGAAAGAAGCAACTTGTGTGTTATGAAATGGTTCTGTCTCCATGTTGCTAAGCACCATGAAATCAAATCTCTCCAACTGTTAGGATTGATCTAGAAACCTGCAGCATGCGGAATGAAGTCCCAAATGAGGCTATTGTAATGACATTTGAAAAATAGGTGGTCAACAGATTCTTTTGCTGAGAGACACAAGTAGCAAGCATTGGTATAGTGTTTCTTTTGCATTGGTTTGGTGTCCAATATTGCTAATCTCTCCTTGAGTGCAAGCCATGCTATAAAACCATGTTTTGGGATGTGATGTTTGAACTATATAAGCTGATCCCAAGCAAAAACCAGAGAAGGAGCTGCAAAGTAATCCATAGTGAGTCTGTGAGAGTAGTCTTTTGTTGAGCTTGGAAGCCATTCCACTTGATCCGGATTAGAGGATGGTAACAAAAAAAAATTAACACATAGAAATAAAAATGATTTAGACAATAAAACTCTAAGCCTATTCTATCTCTCACTAACCCTCTACATCTACACCCTTCTACCATATTTATAGAGTTTAGAAGGGAACAGTTGGGAGGAAAAAATAAAAATTCAAATTACAAGGGGGAAATTAAAATTTTAAAATTGCTAGAATCCAACTGCTTTCCAATTTGAATTGATATTTCATGCTGATTTGATGGACCCCAATTTTGAAATTTAATTTCTACAAATGTTTCCACCAATCATTTTGAATATATGCTTCACTTAAGTCTTGAACTCAATACCTCTTAAAGAATGATTGTGCATTGGACCATCTGTCTTACAATGCCTTAGGGGTTCTTTGATCTTTAGCTATAACTAAACTCTCATCCTTTTTGCCATTTTTGCTTCTTTAGCCCCTAAAAAACATGAAAAGTAGGGATAAAATCATTTACTAATAAAAAAGATTAATTAAACATTTAGTTTTGAATATAAAATAGCATGTTTTGTTCACTTATCAGTAAAAGACAAAGGCAAGTAGGTGGAAAGATGCAATAGAATCGTGCGAGACGATGCAAAGAGGGGGAGTCAAGATGTGTATTACTGCACTAGATTAAGATATCAATATCTAAAACATGAACCCTCTTTTCAAAGTACAGTTTTAAAAGCTCCAAATTTTGCTTCATCCAAAAGCTCATAAAATTTCTAAATCATTAAAATTGCTTTAGGTGGTCGCCAAAGACCCAAAAAATAGGAAGGCCTCAAATTTTTTATGTTTTTTTTAACATTTCAACCTTCATAAATTTTTTATTTTCTTTTATTATTAGTCTCTAGCCAATAGAAATGCCCCATTTCTTTCCTTATATTATAACTTCCAAATTTTTTAATTTGTTTATATTATAATCCATCTAAAATTTTTATTTCTTTCTAGACTAGAGCTAACAGAAAGGCTTCATTTTTTTTTTTATTTCCTTTGATTGGCTATATTAGATATTAAAATGCCAGCTATTTTTATATTTTTTTTTGCCTAAAGCCTCAAATATTATACTGAACCGCCCTTTGTGAATGTTTTGTTGAGGTGGGATTTTGACTTTTTGTGATGTGGGTTTTACTGGTGTCCATGCATGGAAAGTATACGTACCCACACCAACCAAATGGAGAGGCAAACCTCTCCATTCGGTTGGTTAGGTTTCCTTATCATTTTCATTCCCTCATGTCGTAGCGAAACTATTATCTGCTTGTAAATAAAGTGATCTTGCACGTGTTTTGGAATGAAGCCATTAACCACAAGCATGTTTGCATCCACACAAATCACTTACAAGCCTTCCTATGATCGAACTTCCTTTTAGGCCACAAGAAAGTGCTCTTAAATCATTCACTATTATTTTGTATTATTATTTTTATGTTTACCACTTCTGTTCGTGCTTTGATTCATTTATTCTAAACTGTTCATATATATATATATACATATTCCACAAATGTTTTAAGTGTCTTCCTCTCTTTTTCTCATCTTGTTTTTTATTTTTTATTTTTCTTTTCGAAAGGTTCCTCTCTCTCTCTCCCCCTTTTTTTTTGTTTTTCTTAGAAGGTAAGTTTTTCTCCCATCTTGTTGTGATCTCTTATTTTATTTTATTGATGCGCAAAACAAGCAGACTAATTCTGATAATTTGCTTTGTTATCATGGAAAAATATCCTCAATTTTAAACAAAAATAGAATTTCAAATATTCATTTACAAATTTCTTTATTTTCTCAGACAAAGAAATATTAATTCAGCACCTTGTTATATGTCTATTGAGAAGGTGAGGTCATGGCTTGCGACAATGGCAATAATCAAGTGCCGGAAGATGTAACAAAAGAGATTCTCTCAAGGTTAACTGTGAAGTCACTATTAAGATTCAAGTGTGTTTGCAGACATTGGTATTTTTTAATGAAAAACTCTAGTTTTATAACCAAGCACCACAACACCACCACCAATTCTCGTCTCATTATTCAACATCACCATTATAACAATCTAAATCGTGCTATACCCATATTATCTGAATTAATTTTTTCGAGCATGCCCCCTGTATGTTACAATTTTGATGAACTTGAGATGCCCAATAATCCAGAATATGTTATAGGTCCATTGAACGGCATATTTTGCTTATATGGTAGAGATGAAGATCGCATATTTCTGTGGAACCCTGCAATAAGAGAACTCAAGCCTGTCCTGGTACTCCCCCCAAAGCTTCCTCCCCGTGTTGATCGCGTTTATCATTTTTTTGGATTTGGCTTGGATATCATATCCAACAATCTCAAGGTAGTTTGGCTTCGACAATTCTATAATGAGGAAATACAGAACATTTATAATGACACTAGTGTTGCATTGTATAACTTAAGTACCGATTCTTGGAAACTCTTTGAAATTCATTTGGATGCAATTAGTTCCATCATTGAGTCTTTGAGTAACACATACATGAATGGAGTTTATTATTGGATGACAACTGAAAATTTTTATAACTTCAAGATCCTTTCATTTGACATGCATAACGAGAATTTTCAAGAGTTACCTGGGCCACCAGATATTACCGAATCACAATTTGGGTTTCTTGCCACATACAATGGCTCAATTGTTATGATCCTTTATTACCCACAAGAGGTAGAGAAATATTTTGAGATATGGGCAATGGAGGAGAAAGGATTTTGGATCAAACAATTGACTGTCGGTCCCGTTCTAGACAACTTGTGTCCAGTTGGCATTCGGGACAATGGTGATCTTTTTGGTACAATTAACACTTCCCGCTTGGTTTTGTACAACAATCATGCGACAGAAATTAATAATCTTGGACATTACAATAGTAGCAAGGTTTTCATTTACAAGGAAAGTTTAGTTTCAGTAAAGGGACGAAAAGAATGCAAGGAGAGAAATACCATGGTTCAAGCTTAAGACTTTTTTTTTTTTTTTTCATCCAACTGTTATTATTATCATCATTTTTCCCCCTTTTTCATCCACCTGTTATTAGGGTTATCAGAAAGTAAAAGGAATTTTCAGTTTCTATCGCTTCTAGTATTCTTCTTGCATGTGTTTGTAAAACTTAGAACATTTATGCCTTATCATAAGCTAAATGCTTTAGTTGTTATTGTACCTCCTCTTCCAATGCCTTTTCTTGCAAGAATGGTGGAAATGGTGATTCACATATTTGATGTAATTTCCGGGGGGTATGCTTCTTCGTAGTGTATCTTGTTGTCTGCTCTGTCTTGTTTACAAATTATCTTACCATTTAAATCTCCATATACCGGTCCCATTAAAGGATACAAAAGGATTTTTTTAATTATTTGAATTCTTTAGTCTTTACTACAGAAACTTACTCGACAATAACTCTATGGAGCCACCCCAACACCCAGGGTGTCGTTGACCACATGTGCCAAATTTGAAGGGAGGTCAATATTATAAATGACAAACAACACTCAACCTTGTTTAATTTGTCCAAACCTCATAAAATAAAAGGTTGCGACAAGAGTGATAGGGCGACAGTAAATTGTGGCAACAAATATAGTTCTCCATCACTACAAGAAATTAGGCTTTATTGACAGTCAAAAGAGTCCCTAAAAGCTCATCACTATAAGAAATTAGGCTTTAGTGGCAGTCAAAATAGTCCCTAAAAGCTCTCACTAATAGTTTGTATATTAGGGACAATTTTCGAGACTATCCCGAATACATATAGTATTAGGGACAGTATATATTGTCCCTAACATGTTATTTTTTTCGTTTATTAATTATTAAATTTGTGACAGCTAGAAATTGTCCTTAATACTCTAATTATTATTTTTTTAATTTTTTTTTTTGGCTCGGCTAGATTTGTGTGATTAAACCCCATGCAACCTATATAAATTGATATCAAAAGGATATCATATGCTGAACTTAAAAATCACCTTTAAACCAAATCTATGAAATAGCCATCAAAACAAAATAGATCCACAATATCATTCAAGATCAATTACAATAACATTATAATCATGACACCATGTATGCCAACGAACGAGCTCTTAATGTCATGATGAAACTATAAATTTCCATTTTTTTAAACAACAACTAAAAATATCTGCTAGAACATCAAATGGTTCCATCCTCAAATGTTAAAACACCATTTTTAAACCAAATGCAAAGTCCACAAAATGCAGTCCAAAACAATCTCTAGCACCAAGATAAAGAGTAGAAATCAGCTAGTTGATCATCAAAATGCTCCCAAAAAAAAAAAAATTAAATCTCTTTATTGTATTGGTCATTGATCAGTTGATGCATGGTAATGGTGGTGCTGGTGGGTGCTGCTGATATTGCCACTATATGTTAGCGGTGGCTGCTGATATTGCCACCACGTTGGTGGCGGCTGTTGCTGAAAATGAGAGGCCACGTCTGGTGGAGGTGGCGGCGACTGCTGATACCAGCTTAGTGGGGTCTGTTGTTTTTGGGAATCTAATGGAAACTGTTGATATTAGTGGAACCAAGGTGGCTATTGTTGTTGCTGCTATTGCATCTTCTCAATTTTATTCAACTTTCCGCCATTTGTACATTTCTTTCGTCAGAAATTTCTGTCATTTTCCTTGAGGTCTCTTCATATGAATAAGGATGCATGTTGACGGATTGGAACCACGAAACCATATCCAAACCCACGAAAATATCCCTTCCTGATACCTAGTGGGTTTTGCATTATCTCAACACCATTTTTAATTTGATTGGTCCCATCAGAATTTTGAGAAACTTGTGAGAACTTATCTTTCATTTCATCCTGCAATTAATAATGATAGAATATCGTGCAAAATAACGATCACTAATTTTTTATAGGGACAACTACATATACACAGACTAATATAAAATGGTTCTTTTTTTCATAGAAAATTTATTGTTGGTTAAATTACACCAACCTCTCCTGAGGTTTGGGCAAATTAAACACAGGTAGAGCATTTGACATGTATCATTTTGACATCCCCTGAGATTTGGCATGTGTACTCAACGACACCTCTGTTATTAATGAAAATTTAAAAAATGACTAAGTTGCTCTTTCGTTGTGTTAAAAGATCTCAATAATCCTATATTTTCACATGAAATGCCATTGAAATATTGTGAAGTATCAATTTTTATACCAATTTTATATCATTAAATTTTACAAAATAAAAATTTAATGACATTTAATTAGATTTCTTTTGAATATTTAATTCATTTTTAAAAAAAAAAAACAAAAAAAAAAAAAAAAAAAAACTCATGAAAAGTTATTTTTGCCCAATGATGAATACCAACCACAACCACCCCGACCCTCGGATATTGCCCACCATCCTCAGCCATCCTCAACCACCATCCTCTCTAGTGAGCCACTAGCACCACCATCACAACACCGAAGAAATGGAAACCAGTCCTTTCCCCTTCTTCTCTAAACCTAATTTATACACAAACACATATATTCACATTTATATATATATATATATATATATATATATATATATATATATATATGTATATATATACACATACACACACACGCACGCAACAAAATTAGGCATTGATCGATGATGGTGCAACCACCATCATTGTCGCAACAGCTGCATCTGGTCCACCGCTGAACTCATAATCCTCCTCCTTGATGTAGCACAGAATTCTGCACAGTTAGACAAATCCGTTTTTGATAGAACAATAGTATTTTTTTTTTTTTGTGGAAACGACGCATTGAGAAAAATTCACTAGCTTTAGCTTGTGGGAATGCTGGTTTTCGGCTGAAAACCTTCGTTTAGGGCTCCAAAATCTCGTTTTAGCCTCTTATACGAGGCTTGCTAATTATTTTGGGATTTTTGTTCAAGGCCTTAGCGAACTTGGATTGCTCTAAAATTTTAGATTTAGTATTTTTTATTTATTAGGTATCTTATTCTATTTTTTCAGAATTTAAAAAAATATATATTTTTAGTGTTATTTTCCTTTTACTATTAGGTTTATTTATGTTTTTGTTTTCTTGTAGAGTTAGGTTTTCTTTATTATAAATATATGTACTGCCAAGTACAGAATTAATATATATATATTATTCATTTAATTATCAATAATATATCAGATTTCTCATTATCTCCTCGTTTTGTGGATTCAAAACACTGACTTTGTGGATTTAAAGTAAACTGTTTCTTGTGAACAAATTTATAGCTTCTGCTCACATCAGTTGGTATTAGAGCCTTGTCTTTTCCTGATCTGATGTCAGGTAATCAATTTCGTAGCACTCACTTTGCTGACAATGATCGCAGAGTGAAGACCCATTGGGCAGTCATGCATACTCAAGATCAGCTCGTAGCAACTGGTTTTGGAATTGGTGGAAACCATGTTCATGGTTCAATTTGAGTTCGCACTGATGATGTGTCTTGCAACCAATTGAATATGGGTTATATTCCTGTTTATTCACGTAGGTCTCCAGCCTATACAGATTATTCCGATGATGAGGAGTTCGTATTCAGTGATCGAGACAGACGTAACTATTGTGAATTTCAGGTCTCTTTGTGCCATGATTCATTTATTCTAAGTTGTTCATATGTGTGTGTGTGTATATATTCCACAAATCCTGTGTCTCCTAGCTCTCTTTTTCTCTCATCTTGTTTTGTCATGTTATTTTGATGATGCTCAAAACAATCAGACTAATTTTTATCATTTACTTTGTTCTCATAGAACAATATTCTCGTTTTAATAGAAAAAATATACGATTTCATAATTTCATTTACATATTTATTTATCGTGTCAGATAAAGAAAGATTAATTCAGCACCTAGGCATATATATAGAAAGAGAGAGAAGTCATGGCATGTAACAGAGGCAATCATTAGAGTATACCAAACAATGGTATACTCTAATGAAAAACTCTAGTTTTTTAACCAAGCATTACAATAACAACAACAATGCTCATCTCATTATTAATCATGACCATTACAACGATGTTGTTACACCTATATTATCTGACTTAATGTTTTCAGGCAATACCCCTGTATGTTACAATTTTGATGAACTTCAGATGCTCAATAATCTAGAATATGTTACAGGTCCATTGAACGGCATATTTTGCATGTATGGTAGACGCGATGAACATCAAATATATCTGTGGAACCAGGGGCGAAGCCAGGATTTTAATTCAGAGGGAGCGCAATGTTAAAAAATAATAATAATAAAAATAAAAATTATAATTTAAATAAGAAGAACAAAAAAAATAAAAAAATTACATACTATATACATCATTCTTAAGTGCAAAAAAGAAAAATGTTAAGAAGTAGGGGGCCAAAAAAAATGAATAAGAAGAAGAAGGAGAAAAAGGGAATAAAAATGAGAAATTTGAAAGGAAAAAAAATTAAAGTTTGAGTAAAGAAGGAAAATTTAACTTTTTTTTTTAAGGAAATCAGAGGAATATTAAGAGCAAAAAAAAAAAAAAAAAAGAAGGAAAGAAAATTTTAGAAGACAATTTTATAAATTTAAAAAAAAAAATTTATAAATGTACAAATTAAAATAAAAATTAAAATATAGTGGGGCGCCAGGCCAAGAGGGGCATGTGCCCCTTCTGGGCACACACTGGCTTCGCCCTGTGTGGAACCCTTCAATAAGAGAACTCAGGCCTGTCCTTGTACCCCTCCCTAACATTCCACCCCATGCCAATTCCATTGATCATATTTTTGGATTTGGTTTGGATCTCATATTCAACAATCTCAAGGTAGCTTGGCTTCGACATTTCTATGAATGGTAATGAGGTATCAGGTTTAATCCTATAAGTGTTGAATTGTATAACTTAAGTACTGATTCTTGGAAACACTATGAAACTCATCTAGATACAATTCGTTCCTTCGACTATTATTTGTTTAAAACATACATGAATGGAGTTTATTATTGGTTGACAAGTGAAACTCATGAGAACTTCATGATCCTTTCATTTGATATGCA